TGGCGTTTACTGTCAAATACATAACAGCTAATATCATTTTATAGTTATTGTTTAATACCTTTTTAAACTGATAAATCCATCAAAGAGTTATGATATTTTTAAAGATAAAACGATTTTCTTCTAAAGCTACCTTTCCATTGTTACTGGGTAAGAAAAACCCTGTCCCAAACTAAAAGTACAATCTTGTTTCAATCATAAGTGAGATACATTTTTCACATTCAGCCAATACAGTGAGAGCAAGTTGTTGATAGAAGCAGCTTCATAATTTCATGTCAAGCTCCTGAGACCTTGGTTGAGGTAACAACTTAGGGAATATTTGTATTGTTTACGGGCTACTTGAAAGCATCTGCTAGCCTAATGTAGAAATGTGAACGTTTTATTCACAGAAATTAAGTTACCTGTTTCCTGAAAGTTCAACAACACGCAGGTTGGACAAGCCGCGGAAGAGCTCGGCTGGCAGATCATGCAGATGGTTCCAGGACATGTACAAGACCTACGACCAACATCATAATATTAATCAAAAAACTTATGGCTACAAATGTGTCACATGTTTATTGTGACTTGCTACCTAGGTCTATTGCTAATCCATTTCTTCTCTCCATAAAATCAACATTGATTAACACCATGATTGTGTTGTTTTGTGGATATTGAAAATGATAATATGATTGAGCTGGTACCTGGAGTTTCTTGGTGTTTCTGAAGCTGTCAAAGTCGACCTCGTAGAGATTGTTGTGAGCCAGGTCGAGCCACTGAAGATGCGGCATGTTGCCGAACACGTCACGTGTCGCGTTGCTCAACCAGTTGTGTCGCAGGTAGAGATGAGTCAGACTGCGTTCCACAGGGCGAAAGTAGCCGCGGCCGATGTGGGTAATGTTGTTGTGTGACATGTCTAAAACCTTGAGATACAGAAGACCAGTTTAAGTTAGAAAATTGACAAGACTGCTGACTGTTTGGAACTAAAAGTATGGTAAACGATGGTTTTAATTAAAAAAAATTTTCTGTAAAATTTCCTTCTTTTCACACAAATCACCTATCACTGAAAGACATTTTTGTATATTTTGAAAGAATCTTTTGATACAATATAGTTATGGTTCAATCTTGATAAGGCACCTTTTCTTTGTACGTTCATAATCTCAACAAGTTGTAATAAATTTTGAAAAAATATGTAGCCAAAATATAAATACATGCATACAAAATATATATTAGGTATATACTGTTCAGTGTTCACTTATTACCTTAACATTTGCATGAATGATGTTCTCTCTTCCAGTGAAGGTTGTGTTCAGTTCAAGGTCACGCAGGGAGTTGTAGCTCATGTTGAGCTTGAATGTTGCCAAAGTTCCAACCTAAACCAAAAATAAATCTTGTAGAATATCCCATTATACCACAATGCAGCGAACCTTGCTAGCAAGTTTGTAAACTTTACTAGATGATAAGTCAAACTTGTAATCAGTGGTGACATATTTTTGAGGTCTTACTGTACCTATCAAAATCAATAATTTCATTCAAGAGTATTGTTATAAAGATTTTAGTGCATCATACTTCAAGCCTAGCAGATAAAATAGAACTAGTAAGTAGAAACCAACAAAAATGTGAAATTCTTGTATAACTTGTAATTATAATTTCACCATGACACTTGGCCATGGGTGTCCATTTCTTAAACGCCAAAGTCATTTAAATCGTCTCTTTAGTAGAACAAGGTAGTTCTATAAATTGTTCCCTTAGCTCAATGTTGGCATTATTTATAAGAGTTTACCTGGTCTAAGCAGGCAAAGTTGAACATCCTCAACTGGTTGTAGGCCATGTCCAAGTGTTCCAGCTCGGGAAGATTCTGGAAGGCTTCGTCGCTGACAAAAGAGATCTTGTTGCCTCGCAGATCCAGCTCGCGTAGATGCTCTAGGTTGATGAACGCGCGGCGGTCCACACGCGAGATCACGTTGTCGTCCAACTTCAGTCGCGACAACTGAGACAGATCTACAAACGTGTGTGTGTTGATAGCCGACAACTTGTTGAAGGAGAAGTACAACTCTTCCAGCTCCCTGTGGATGTCACCCTGGAAAAAGTAACTTATAGGTTGTAAAAATCTCACAACTGAAAATGTTCAATCTGTATGAGAGAAAGCATTTTTAAAACCTTACATGAGTTGCTAGGACCGGAGTTGCAAAGGGCCAGAAAATTATCAGCAGCGGACATTTTTTTCCTTCATTTCTAAGACACTAAGCTCTGGGTCGGGATGATTTTTCACATTACTCTAAGCTAGACCTAGGGGTTGTGGCATTATCACTTTGTCATGGTCATTTGGCAGGGTTTGAACCCGGGACCTCTGAGATTGAAGTCCCGTGCTCTACCAGACGAGCTTGCTTCCCAAGACATTTCTGTATTGGGCTGTATACATTTTTTATAAATTAAACTGAACAGGGAACAACGGTTGCCATATTTTTGTTAATATTTTGTAGAGCAATGAATATTAATTCTATGGAAAGTTCCATTATGTTAATCACTAAATATTGAATTTTATTGTGCTAATTTTAACACAAACAAGCAGTAGAAATTGAGTGCACGAGGATTAATTTGGTGAGGGAGGACGGATGAGGAGAGTTAAAAATAATATTATTACTGCACAATGTGTTTAAAATATTAAATGAGTTAATTTCAAACATGCATAATATTAGTGTTCACTTTACACATAATGCATGGGTTGACCTCAAACTAATTTACCTTTCTAATAATGACATGTCATCATTTACTCACAGCTTATTAGATGCATATTAGACCTTTGAAAGCAAGGCGGGAGGAGGGTAATTTATGTCGACTTTAGGGCAGTACCAAAACCAATCCTGAGAGTTGTAGAAAATAAATTTACCTATCTGTCCATTCAAAACAATTGTTAAAGGTTGACATTGAAATGTGTTATTCAAATAGTAACTATCTAGATTGTCAAATTTCAAAAGTTAATCCGAACACTTATCAAGGTTAAGGGATTGGTTAATCTAAGTTTATGAATACTTAACAAGAGAAACTGCAAGCTGTGGCAAACTTAGCTCTTGCTTGTCTGATTTGATTGTTGGGTTTGGTTGTTAGGTTCATTTGTTAAGTTTCATTTGTTAAGACTTTGCTGAAGCATTCTAGACACCTAGAAGCATTGGTGCACAGTCAATGTACAGTCTAACCTTGATATAACGAACCTCGATATAACGAATTCCTTGATATAACGAACTTTTTTAAATCCCCTAGAACTCTCCATAAGACACAATGTATATTTTACCTCTACATAACGAACAATCCATATCAACAACCTTGTTTAACGAATTTTTCATGATCCCGGCTAAAATAAGACACCTCAATATAACGAATTTATCATTGTCAGAACCTCTACATAGCGAATTTAACCTCTACTTAACGAATTGTCTGCGTCTCTCCCTCGATACAACGAACCCCCCACCACCATTATTGCTTTTGAAAAATCTGTTTCTTCATCAAATGAAATGGAAAGGTGACGTCAACGCTTGCACTAACATTCGTCTGCTCCGTTTTACACATCCCTGTCTGCTGTCGTCGTTGCATGCGCGCTATGTTTACAACTAACTGAGAACTGATTTCATTCACTGAGGACTGATGGCGCCTTAATGTGTAGTTTGCTGTGATTGGGTGATGAGTAAATATGGTGAATTGTACAATTTTTGGATGAAGAGAAACCTTAGAAAGAAAAAGAATAGAAGATCAAGGCAAAGAAAAAGAATAGCAACGTGGATATCTTAACATTCCTTTTACGAGTGTTTTTAATATCTTTAAGTTGGCTATCATTATACACTTCAATAACGACTTAGCCTATCTAATATTTTTATTATTTTCAATATGATTTGTACTAAGTTCATGATAATTACAGTACATTCCTCTATTGTGATTTAAAGTACTAATGTAGCCTACCACCGGCCTATCACGAGCAGTAGCTTACAAAACTCTCTACTGTTTTGTTTTGTTCTTTACGTGGTTTATTGCTATGCAATACAGTGTTTGGCTAGGTTTTAGGTGGATTGGAGTAAGCAGTAAGCTGTGATTTAAACTTACAGTTTGTAACCTGTACCAAGGTCAATGACTATAAATGTCATGATTGCGCAATATTAAAGTTCCCTTCCCTTTAGTATCCCGGATAATCGAGGTTCTACTTTACAATGTAAACACTGTACACTGTAAAGTATTGTAGCCTATGCTACTTTAATTGTGTTTAAATGAGGTCCAATCCCGACCTATATAGACTGATGCTGGTTCTGAACCCCGACTTAGCGAAATTCCTGCAAACCTAACCTCTATATAACGAACCTCATTTTAACGAAATCCTTAGTATAACGAATATTCAGTTCGGTCCCTTCAGATTCGTTATACCGAGGTTGGACTGTACCAGTTTATTGTGGTTTGCTGTACCTGGAATGTGCCTTTGTGGACATTGTCAATCATGTTGTCCTCCAGCTGCAACACTCTCAGACGTCGTAGGAAGTGGAAGGCTGTCTCTGGAAGGCTATGCAGCTTGTTGTGGCTCATGTCTAGGTGCTGGAGACTGCCCAGGGGGCGGAGTGCGTCCCCAGGCACTTGCTTGAGGGAAGAGGCCAAGGCATGTGACAGGCGCAGATACTGAAGAGAGTGGCCAATCTGTGACAAGTTCACCTCACTCTTAGAATGATTTTTATTTTAAATTAAATACTAAACTAGATTTTGAAGCCCTCGTCTTTCAATAAGCAAACATTTCACACAAAAATACTATATCGAGTAGCGAGGGTTAAAAAGACACATTTTTCCCCGCGTGATAAACTATATATTTTTCGTCATATTGCACCAATGTTTGAGCAAACTGTTACAAAACTGAAATAGTTTTCATTTTAAGATAACCTCTCAAAACTAATTCTAGCTTGTTTTCAGTTTAATTTGCTAATTGAAACCAACAGCTGTTTCAATCGTCTTGCCTATTGCTATTACGATTGTGTTGTATATTATTATCGATATGTTGAACTATTTACAAAAAGGCAACAATTACTGTAACTGCAATCGGTTAAAAAATCGATACACACTTTCGATACATGCAGATGCAATAGTTTACAATAGAAATGCACATCTGAGTTGACAACAACCGCTGATATTTACTCCATTGGGGGCTAAAACCGATAGGGAGTAAAAATGCTACTTTAGACCAGCAACGCATGCGTTAAAAACAGGTGTTTTGCTGCAGTATGACGAAAAATAATTGTACGGATTCCCCTTTATTTTTATTGGCCTAATTAGATTATTATAACTGTCTACTAAAGAGACATTCATTTAAAGATTGCAATATAAATTAAGCTAGGCCCTACTCATTTTTATGCCTTGAATGGACCAATAAAACATAAATAAACTGATCCTTGAGATAGAACCCAGCCCTCAAAATTTGGCGTGAATATGATGCATAAAATGTGGAATCATTTTATACAGTATAGAGATTTGTATTCAACTAATTGCTTTTGTTTTAAACTTGACCCATTATCTTTCTCTATGCAGCAATTTTAAAATGTTTACTAGCTCGTTTTCTTGTACGGTACAAATTTTGCAATCAATTTTAAACAATCTTCCTGTTCCTGATGAGCTAGAGAGTTGAAACTTGAAACATAGCTCACAAATGGATAACAATGCAATGATAAGGGTGTGTTTTGCGCATCGATCTCTATTATCGATGGTTTTGCGTAGCATGTGTAATCTTTGGCATCATATTCAATGATTTTATTTTCATATTTCCCTTGGACTACGCCACATGGGCCACCGAATTTTTAATGTTTACATTTTGGAAGAATGTAAATATATCAATTTAAGTAAGCTGTAAATAGATTCATTTGACAGTTTGTTTAAAGAGTAGAGGTTGAGAGGTAAAGTTTCTGCTGCCAGAATATTCTAAAGTTTATGACTATGAGAATAGCAAAAATACCCCCGCCGCAGCAAACCTGCCGTCTAAGCGAATTTCCATTTGGCCGAATTGATTTTCAATTGATCTATTTAAATAACATTAGGTTTAACGAGTACCTAGGTTTGCTGCTACAAGGAAACTAATAAAGTAGTGTGTTTTTAGTAAAATATTGATAGCTTACTATAAAATAAATAAATTTGCCAAGTTTGATCAAAATATATCCATAAACAAGCAAACTACAACATTTTACAATATTCTCCATAAGAATAACATGGGAATTTTAAATTTATCATTTTTTTAGTTTTCTCCGTAACCAATAACCGTACAAAAACACTTTGATATACTGAATTGTTTGTTTTTTTAAGCTCTTTAAGAAGGTTTAGAGAAAAATTGGGAAATTTTGTGTTTTGAGGGTAAGAAGTGAGAAAAACCAATTTTTACCCCATAAAACCCCCCATTAAACCCTGTTCCCATGGTCCGATCATGCTGGATCGCGAACTCATTCAAGTTTATCCCGCCTTACACCTTCAAACCAAATTTCATCAAAATCGGATAAAAATTACTCAAGTTATCGTGTTCACGGACACATATATATATATATATAAATCTATATATATATATACCTATATATATATATATATATATACATATATAAAAATTTGAACGAATGGTGTTTTTGGCCTCTGGGGACATTAAAATGAAAAAGTAAATCGGTCCCGGGCCTAAGTCTTACCATGAGACCTACGGTAATAGCTACTTCCCTATAGGGAAATTCGCTAACATCGAATTAGAGTTGAAGGGGTTGGTTATGTATTGGCCTTATAAAATAAATTCAATATATTTACATTAAAAACTAGAAAGTAGAAAATAATTTATAGGCCAGAATAAAAAAAAAACTTTTTAAAATGCCACGTTTTCAAACGAACTAAAAAGTAGCAAATAATTTATAAATATGTGGAGAGAAGTACTTGTAACGTTTAAAACGAAAAACGCGGGTGCATGCAGTAGATAACAAAAGTTCAATAGCTATTTATTTGTAGTTTAAGATAATTGTAAATTAGATATTATTGCATGCGTCCAGCATTTTTAGTTTTAAATCTTACAAGTATTTATTCTCTCCACATACTTATAAATTATTTTTAACTTCTTCATTCGTTTAAAAAAGTGGTATTTAAAATAGTTTTCTATTTATAAATTATTTAGTGAAATATTTGTAAGAATTGGTCCTCTTCTGTTCAAGGGAACGTACATTATAATCGATGATTTATTTTCGATATAGGCTATTGATTTTTTTTATTCCATGATATATATAGATATTGACAAATTGAAAAATATTAGCGGACAACTACGATAAAAAATATTGTTCAGTATCAACAAACATTAAAAAATGTTGGAATAAAACTGTTCTAAACTATCCTAACTTATCAAAACTTGCTGTAAAATTTCAAAATTCCGTTTGATAGGTAACCTATTCCATTTCCCACATGCCTTTTATCTTATTAAATGGATTTTTTAAATGGTAACTTAAACTTAGCCTACAGCAATAGTATGTTGGGTTAGTTTGAAATATAGTTTCATTTTTTAATCCAAATAAGCAGTTCTCAATTCGTAGTTTAAATGCGTTTGAATAAATCAAACAGAAGCGAAGGAATATGGATAGTAAAGGAAGCCCAAAATATCGATAAATCGTAAAGTAATCATCGATAACCATGAATGTTCCCTTTAAAAGGAAAGTACCCAAAAACGTGACTGCAGATAGACATACATTACATTATATAACTTATGCCTATGTTAAGGTTTTTTTGTTAATATGTTTCCAACGTGGCACCTCATAAGGTCCTATGTTAAATTCTCATGACTTTCTTTTTAATTTTTTCACGTAATAAGATTTTTGTTGGCAGTTTTGATAAAATACAACATATTTTTGAGCCAGAAAAGTTAAAACTTTTGAACATTACAGTATTTTATTGTAATTGTTGTATTGCTGTTTCAGGGAATCAAAGCTAGCACTGGAGGATAAACATTGCCCTTGTGAGCACCCTTGGCTGGACAAACACCTTAGTAATTAATATTTTTTATGGTTAAATTTTTTATAATTTATTCTTTATTGAAGTTCCCCAAAATATATTTTTTTTTTTAAATCTGTGAATTTATTGCCTGTCCAACATATTCAGAGTTTTTTCACAAACATTTTTGATTGTAATAATGGTTATATATCCATCAGTCAGTATGCACGATCTTTGACATATTTTTACATACTTTTTAAGATGAATTTTACTCATGCATATTTGCAGTATTATGAAAATCACACCAAATTTGAAATAATTGTAACTTCAGAACAGTTAAATGTTCTCTTGTGTTGTGAAAAAAACCTAAATAAACCAAGTACATTTTTGTTTACAATATTACATTTTATGTTTTTCTATACACAATCTTTTTAATGTAATGTGTAGTTTTTAGTTCTTTGACTGCCCTTATAAATAGTGGCATACCAAGTAAAAACACTCTACTAAAATGGTTTCTACAACTAATAACCAACGATTTTAGTATCCATATTTATACAAACTTGTATTGTATTTTAAGAGTAAACAGCTCCAAGTATACACTCTTAGCTCAACCTCCGTTAATTAATTTTCTCTGTTTTATAATTGTATTCTACATGTTATGTTGTTAAGACTATTTTGAGAAGAAATTATAGCTTTTGAATTCTTAAATAAACTTTTTATGATAAAGGAATGCTTATTTTAATATTTTCTGCTGTCTTAAACAAATTTTGGCTTATGTAAAATGTATTTTTTCTTTTAATATAATAATAAAATAATTAATAAGATACTAGTCAATAACTTTTGAAAACAAAATTTTTGCTATTACATTTATAGAAAAAATTATGATGATTAAATTTAGCTAAGGTTGAAGATATTTGATACATTCACAAGAAGAATTCTTTGCTAAATTCAACAATGAGATTTAGTGCACATTGGTAGCAGTTAGCAAATCAGCTACAAAGATTTCCTGTAATTATCTAACAAACATTCTTTTCATATTTATATTCAACATTCAGTGCATATTTACAGTAAATTATCTTTGCAATTCATCTTCGTACACATCATTGAAAAGCAAATGCGAAGCATAAGGATTCCCTGTAAATGTTTGACTAACATTATTTTCTAATCTGAGAAATAAACCCAGAGCATAATTGCAGCAAGTACTCTTTGCAAGTCATGTACAAAGATTACTTGCAAGTGTTTTACAAGCATTCTTTGCTAACTCGAGAAAAACATGCAGTGTGTCATTGCAGCAAGATTTCTTTGCAAGTAATCTGCATTCATTCCCTGCACGTGTTTTACAAGCATTCTTTGCTAGCTTGAGTAAAACATTCAGTGCATGTTTGCAGCAAGATATCTTTGCAAGTCATCTGCATTCATTCAATGCAAGTGTTTAACAAGCATTCTTTGGTAGCCTGATAAAAACATCCATTGTATGTTTGCAGCACGGTATCTTTGCAAGTCATCTGCAATCATTCCCTGCAAGTGGTTCGCAACTATTCCTTGCAACCTTGCTTCAAACACACGGTGAAACTTTTCAGAAAGTCTGAGATGGGGTTACTTTTATACTTGCAGCAAACGTGTTACAAATTAAAATGTTTGCAATGCATAGTTGCTGCAACCATCTTGGGTTGCCTCTGAAAGTTTATTATGAACAAACTGAAAGCTTTCTCTGCTATCTGGGAGTGATCTTTTTAAGGTATCATTTTAACATAGTTCATTAAACCTTGTTAACCTACTGTGCTGAGATTATTAAATTAATTTGGGATTGTTTTTAACTAAGTGTCAGTTTGATAAAAATTTAAGTTAGAACCCATTTATCTCGCATCCCGTTTTAATCTCGCTCATGGTCTAAAATTTCACGTATGTAAAAACTACTTGAGCGTTGTAGTAAATGAGAGCAAGGAGGCAGGGTTGGACTTTGCACTAGACACAAGCAACTAGTGCTAGACACCACTTAAGTGTACCATTGAATGTTTCCTGTACCTTACTTCTCTGTGTTAACACAAAGTAAAACAAATGTCTCAAGTTTTGCACACAATTTGTAAGCTCTGATCTAAACTACAGTATGTGGGATAAAGCGTGTAAAGCATTTGCCTCGTCAAAAGCGTTGTAGTCGATGTTGGAGATCCCGTTGTCCGATAGATCAAGTCGCTTGAGACCGCGGATGTGTTTGAATGCATGAGCACTGATCTTCTGAATACCTACACAGAACATATGAATCATTGATAGGTAGAGAGTTGGATCCTAGTGTGCAAATAATGCACAGACTGGCTGTTGTGTGCTTAATGATAATTTGTTTATCGACCAGTACTCAGTAGTAATCCAATAAATACTGTACAGTTTTTTAGTAGCAGGAACTTTCTTAAAAAAATAGCTGATTTGTCTACATTAGAGAACTACCCTTTATTTCACAAAATAAGGTGACCAACTACTTGAGTTAGTCTATAAATCACCTGTTTGTGGCAATACCATAGTTATAATCGTTACACATAATTAATTATTGGAGGGATTTGAACCTGTGGCTGGAGGTCGGTTCACTAGAACCTCCTGATTATCGGAACAAGCTGGTGTAGGGGTAAAGCATGGGGCTTTGGTCCCCAAGGTCTCAGGTTCAAATCCCATCATTCACTAAGCTTAACATTCTCGTTTTAGCTTGGAATACAATATTGGGTATATTGATGTGAGTTGTATAAAAAGTAATTTGAAGTTCCCTCTCTCGCAAGGTATTTGAAGAGGGGGGGGGGGGTATTTGTTTCCCCTTCTACTAAAAAGAATAGTCCAACTGAATACAATGTTTTAAGGATATGTCTGTCAACGGATAAGGCATTAAACTCCAATTATATATATTTTAGAGGTTATAGTTTTTATCACTCACACTATTCAGTCTGTTAGCTCTTTGTGTCATTCCCCATTTCAAAACAGAAGGACCTGCTTTTGGTCTCTCCCCTTCACTAAGTTATATTAGTTTTTGTACAAAAAATATAACAAGTGCGGTATATTCAGACTATCATTTGGAAAGTTTTTTAGTGATTGCTGGGGATTATTTATATACCTCCGTCATTGATGTGAAGTTCTTCCAAGTCTACACCAAACTCATTAAAGTCATCAGAGTTCAAGGACACTTTGGATAGACGAGACATTCCAAGCCAACGTAGATTCCTCATCCTACGTAAACAGTCAACATTAATAACACTGATTACTAGTTTCTGAGGGTATATTATAATATAATTATAAGAGATAAGGCAAATAATCCCTTAACCCTCTCTGGAATCAATCACTCTTTAGATGTTTTTGAGCTGTGAATTTCTAAAGCGTATCTTAAGTCATATATTTTGGATAGTATATTGTTATAAAAACTCAAAACAATAGTCTAGTCTGCTCTATGCTCAGGTAATTTTAGATACAACTCTTGAAACATTACTTGTAGATGGTCTGAATGAAATATGTGCTGTCTGCATGAACCTATGAGTGACAGGATAACTCAGTGGTTATCTTATAGAGATTGGAAACACCGTTACATTGCAATAATAGTCAGGAATGTTTTTTAGCTTTACGGTAATAGGTTAAATAATACTAATTACTTCCTTGTCGAGGCCGTTACAGCTGATTTCCGTTAATAGGAAGACAGGATCAGTGGTATTTCACTTGCTAGTTCTAACAGTTCATACGACGTTACAAAAATAATTGTATTCTCAATAATCTATTCTATTACCAAAGTAATATTATTTTTTGAAGCTAGCTGTCAATGGAAGATGTGATCAGCAAGACAGCTATTTCATTAATTCATTTAATCAGTCCATATGACGTTACTTAAATAATGGGATATTCTCAGAAATCCCACCACTCTACCAGGGTGTTCTACTACCAGGGTGTTAGGTTGAAAGCTTATCATGGATGTTGCCATAATCACAGCAAACCATCACCACTTTTGTTAAGACCACAAGATATGCATACGGGTGTTGCCGCAATCAAAGGTGGTGATTACCGATGTCACCGAAACATAAACATAGACATATTTTATGTACACAAGGCATTCTTTGTAAAGTTCAATTCACACATGGAAACAGGTGTTTTGTAATAGTAATGTATTGAAAATAAAATAAATAGTTAAAATAATTTAAATAACAAGACCGTAAGATATGCTCAGGGGGTTACCGTGGTCGTGTGAGACAATTACCGGGGTGACCGGGACCACAAAATATGCTCCTACTCATATATGACCTTTTAGCCCATCCAACCATGGCCCAGTACCGTCATGATTAGATATGAGGGGTTTGACTGTATCGATAAATACCATACTCGGCCATTCTGAAAATATTACAGCAACATTTTGTACATTTTCACAGTGTACCAAAACATATTTCTCCTATATGGATATTTCTCCTTCCAAACATGATAATAAAACTTTCAACATCAAACTCACAATTCAAGCAGAAAAGCTATGCATTACACAAGCCAAACACCTGCAGTACAAGCATATTACAACCATTCTCAAACTAATGCCTCAAAAATTATAAATAATTGAACCGTGGTAGTTTAATAAGTTAAGTTTACCTAACGTGTAAGTTTAACTCAGGAGAAGAATTAATAAGTTATTTTAAAAGGAATTTTAAGGTGAATAGTTAAGGGATTTCTTCTTCTTGGTCACAAAATTTAATGCACAAGACCTTGTCAATAAAGCATATGAATAAGTGTATAAGTGTATAAGTGTTAAGTGTGTACATGCTAAAGCTAAGTTTTAGTGGTGACATATGAAGTGTTAACACAGAAACTGCTAATAAGAGAAGCATGATCTAACAGACTATGGCACAATTGTCCCTGTTCTCCCCACTACTGGTGATTTTACAGAGTTATATAGTTTTACAATCAGATCATTGATGTAATTATGTGTAAATTGCTTAAACCTTGAAAAGATTATTGAAATGTATGGTAATTACTAGAGCTCTTACAACAATGTATTGCATTGGGTTTTAAACATATTAAACCAGTTCTTGAGTGTGATTAAATATGGCAAAAGTTTTGGCCAAAAATTTAAACCAAAATTTGTAACAAAGATATTAAAACTAAACTTTTCAAGAAAATGTGTGTTTTATACATGTGTGTTTTTTTAGTTAAGGAAAGGTTTGAATGAAAACTACATGAAATCTGCTGACAGTGTTAAACCTGCTTCACAGAAAGCTGTACAATACAAATGAATGTTGGTTACTTGCCTTTCAGTTCCTTTGAAAATACAAACCACGTCAGTTATAGGGGGCCTGAAAGAGAACAAAACTTCTTCCAATGGCAATCTAGTAGCTGTACTAAACATAGCTACTATTAGGTAAAAGATATTTTGGGTTGATAATTATTTTTAGTATTTTGTACCAAAATTCCTAAGGATAAATAACCTCAAACAACTTTCCAATTTGTATTGCTCGCACCAATCATTTTCTTTTTGCTAGTTTTCTATGTGACTTTTCCTGAGTTATGCACTACGTATATAGACGTATTAAAAGTAAATCACACAATGAAGAAGTTCTGTTCAAACTACTAAGAGTTACGATGAATGAAAATGCATATGTACAAACTTAACTAAAATTTACAAATGGGAATGCTCGTTACAATTCTAAAAAGCAACCAGTTCTCATCAAAATCAAAAGGACCAACATTCTACAAACAGGAAAATATTAACAGAGAAGTTTGAATAGGAGAAAAACTAAAAGTGAAATAAGATCCAAATACCTCCTCATTTGTTGGATGGCCATCGGAGCATTGGTTCGTCCACTGACATCCAATCTGTACAGGGAGTATTGGAAGCCAGTGTCAGGCTCATCTTGAGACGTCAAACCGTATAGAGCATTGTCCTTGACATACAGGGTGCGTAAGAAGTCAAACTCCTGCACAAACACACACATTCAACTTTGAGTGAATCAGTTGACATATTTGTCACAAGTTTTTCACCTGGAGATGGAATCAGACTCTAGGTCCCGAAATGTCTTGATACTCTACGTGATTAAAAAATGAGTGCATACTGTAATTTCTTAAATAGCGTAAACGGAAATCATACAATACAAAAACAGAGTAAAAGTTTTAAGACGTGGACAAACTCGTGACAAACAGCACCTTAAAAAATAATATATTTCTTTTCCTTCTTTTATGTTTACTAAAATGTCCAGGTGTTATTTTTTTAAATTAATTTCCTTTTGCACAAAATATCTCCATCTTGAATCACAAAAGACACAGCTTCAACCACAGTAAACTAAATATCTATAAATTAATTTTCTTGTAAGTCACTTATAAATTGTAAAATCTGCTTATAAGTTATAAAGACTTTCTTTACCCCCTCCCCCCCCACCTAAAAATAATAAAATGCATTTCTTAGTTCTTCCGGACAACTTTCGGTCTTCAAACAATCAGTGAAATAAGTCATTCCCATGACTAACATCAACAGTTTCGAAGAAATAATTAATTTTGATCTCATAATCAGCCTAACGCAACATTTTCCCACAACCAATTTCACCAAACACTCCATCAATATCTCCACACTTTGAGAAGCTTTGTGACTTTTCGCATCCTGTACAAAATAGCTAAGAAAAATTGCCATTTCCTAATTTGCTAACAAACTTATAAAATAGTCAATAACGACTGAAGGCCTAACAAATGCTACTTTACACTTCATTTTACAAAATAAATATTTACAATAACAAACACATTATTTGCTATCTTGCAAGTTGCAGTATATTCCTCTTTTACTAAACATGCAGTTCAATTAAAATTAAGACTACTACATTGCATGTTTGTATGTTTTTGTATGTTGTTACTACATTGAAACAAAATATCCCTACCTTAAACCAGCCACATTCCTTTAGTGAATGACTGTTATGAATAGTGAATGGGTTCTAAATCAGACTTTGGTGGCAATTCATAACTCTCCAATTGATTAACTATTTAAGACCAAATATAGAGGCTAGTTGTATGGCTACATGTTTTAACTTTTCTTTCTTCTAAAAATACATTAACTTTTTCGAGCTTTGCTATACTTAAAATCACGGGTGAGGTCACTTTGAAAGAAGATTTATGAACTTCTGTACACCAGTACCGGTAACCACTTTCTGATACAAAAACAAGCAAACTAACTTTCTAATTTTAAAATTACCTAGGATGCAAACATGCACAAAACAATAATATTTACAGGAGGAATACAATTTTATAGGACTAAAACTAACAGGTAAATTCAAAAGCACCAAATATATTATGGTGTTTTGAGACGGCATCGGACAAACTCCTGAACATTACCTTATAATAACAAACCACCTAGATTTGTTATGTTCCTCGTTTTATTTTTACAACAAAAAAATCCAGCTGTTTCAGTTTTGTATAAGAAACATATCAGAATTTAGAAAAATGTTACAGTATATAATTTTATGGAGCTTTATGTACAGTAGTGAGGAATCTCTAGTACCCAGATAGTTTTCATAAATTTATCTTATTCCTTCTTGTTTTATAAATAGGACCCAAACCAATGGGACTCTACTTTATTTATATAATGAAAAACCATTGGCAATTTCAGGATGATAATTTTGTCTCCTAGAACCAAAGTGTTGTGTTCCAACAGATAAACCCTTTTTCAAGGCGCAATTCTTATATCGACCTCTGGAATATCACTACCGATAGGATCCTTTGGATGTAAATGCCTTCGGGGTCTTTCCATATTGGTTATGCCATGATATTGTGATAATTATAACTGCAAGATATGCAGGGGCTGTTGGCATTGGCCATGGGTCAAGTGATGAGGTAAATGTATGACCATAGCTTGTCTTTGGCCATGGAAATGACCGAGATCACGCTTCTCATCAGATGGGGGATCAATCCAATGGTACAGCTCACGATTGGACAGGAAGTGATAGTCACAAAACCCGCTGTAAAGCACTTGGGTATAAAACTGACGTTCCGCTCACATTCCAAGACCAAACCATTTTTGCAAAAGCGAAAGCAGAAAATATTTTTACGAATTTGAGAAGATTAATAAAAAACGTTGGTGGACCAGTTGGCAGTCAGAAGCAGGTGCTGATGTCTGCTTTCCATTCTGTTCTTCTTGAGGCATGGGCAGAGCAAATACACAACTCGGAAGAAATATGGCAGCAGTCCAGAGGAGAAGCACTCTTATGATCGCTTCAGCGTATCGCACAGTGTCGGAGCCAGCTGTACACATAGTCCCATTGAGCTTCGTGCTTTTGAGTGGAAGAGGATCTTCAATGGGAATGTAGCTTTAAGTCATTTTGAATCCAAAGAACTCACTATGGAGGAAAGGATGACTGGCAATATTGCTGGGAGGGGAATGAACGAGGAAGATAGACAATGAGACTTATTGGGGGTCTCCAAAGGTGGTCTGAGCGAGAGCACAGAGAGGTAGACTTCTATCCCACCCAACTCTTTCTGTCCTACTCCTACTACCAATAGTAACCCTCGGGCTACACCACATAGGAGAAGACAAGGAAAGGAAACAGTTACTGGCGAATGGTTTCTGTGTCATCAAATGGAAGCTGCTATAGGTGATTGGACACAACACTTGGTGAAACGACATGACACTTGCAAAATCCGTTGAATATTTCAAGAGCAATTGACATTTTCTTGACTTGGTGTCTCCTTTTGCCGTGTATCAAGTCCTTTCTCTTGGGCTACACTAGGGAGTAAAGGGCGCGCACAGGAACTTTCTGGTTAGAGGCAATACACGGTCGGTTGGGAATTGTTCGGCTGTCTGCGCACACACACACACTCCTGAAACAGGTTGTTCTGGACAGTTTCCTTTTTGTAGCCCATTTAGTGTAAGCCTCGGAGTCCCATTTGTTGCCTGTTCCTGTCTAGTGAAGTTGAACCTTGAATGAACATAATAATTTAGAACAAACTGAAAAAAAAATTTTCACTCTGTTTAAATTTACTGTGTGACTTAAAAAAAATTAAATTATTCTTTTTATATTGTAACCAACCAAAATATGAATAAAAACATGCAACCAATAAAAGTGCAAAAACCAAATGCAAGAAAACAAAACTACGCTGTCAAAAAAATGTGAGATGAAAAACCAATTACAAGAATGCACGCAACCATTCTGTGAAAAATAATAGAGAAGAAAGTGAAAAAACAAACGATGAAGAACAAAAGACCCACCTTTCTTTCAATTCGGGCCAAGAAGGGTTTATTAACACCCTCAGTGTGAAACTGAAAATGTAAAAATGTATGAATTCCTGATAGAAAACTACGTAGCTCACTTAGTGAACATGTTTTGATAGTTAAATGGTGAGATTAGCATCATAGGTTAGATGTTTGTTTGCACACAAACTTGACTAACCGAAGTAATTAACACTCTTTTAAGTTCTATGCCACTAAGATTTGCAGTGCTAACCTTTAAATCCCATTGACATTTTAGTACACTATCGAACTGAACACTATAAACAGAAGGAACATCATACTATATGTCTGGCAAGTCATGGATAGTCCTTCTATTTAAGAATCAAAAAGGGGATTTTCCGTAAGTTGATGGGCGACTGCAAAATAAATGACCAGTGATCAAAATTATCTTTGACCAACAAGTAAAATTACGTGATTCTAAGTCCGGCCATTTCATATATTTACTGCAACAAATGGGTTCAAGAGTATTAACTATGTATTTTTGTTTTATCAGAAAAAATGTTGTTCTTTTCTTATTACTACCATTGTTTCTTGGCCTCTAAGTTTATTAACCACCGAAATGTCTAGCAAAAGAACACAATCTGCATACTTTTCAATCATTTCTTTTGACTCCACAATTCTTAGAATCTATTTCATTGCTCTGCAATAGCTAGATTCCCAGCTACTAGTCTAAACACGTGATCTAGTAAGACAGAATGTTCCAATCTTAAGAAATGAGTTACCTCAAAAGAAAAAGTCGTGTGCTGTTCACAGTCTTTATACAAAAATGTTCCATCAATAAATTTTTAACCCATCCCCAACCTAACATATATGTTGTTAACAACAAAAATTGACATATTTTAAGTAAAAACAAAAATTTGTAGTGAATGAAAAAAGTGATTTTTTTTAGTTCAACGATCTTAAAAGTTATGGTGTAGAGATTTAGTAGTAAGAGGGGCAAGGGATTGGTGTTAGTTTTTCTTTTTTTATTTTAAAAATCAATGTTTTCCGTACACATCAAATGTCCTTGAAATAAAATCTCAAAAGCTCTTGCAAACTTGAAATTTTATGACCATACCACTGGCTCTAAGTGTATGGTGTCTTTTATGTTAAGTTTTAATAGGTCATAAGCCTCGAGTAAAACTATTAGAAAGAAAGACAGAACTTGCAGCTTAAGATAAACAAGCACCAAAATTACTTTTATTCTAAATTATCTTTCAAGTTAATATTGGAAGACATTTTAAATACCCTAAAGCCTTGAGAGAATTAATCAAACCCGCATGAACTTGAAACAAAAGTGGGTCATGTGAAAAAACAAGCAAAATAATTAAAAATACTTCTGCTAAAAACAACTTGATATTGTGTTGACAAATCAATTCATGTTTTGAAATTAAGTCTCTATAAAATACGCCCTTTATCTGGTTTTAGAATATACCTTGAAACTCACGTTTAGATTTAAGTAAAAGGGGTAGAAGAATTAAGGGTGTTAAATGGTTCTTATAATCTTCATTACCGGGTACTTTGTTTACAAAAATCTATTACTTACAATTGCCAAACAATTATTTATATTCAACCCATTGGGGAAGGAAATTATGCGCTGCATGCAGCACCCTCTGTCGGCAATTAATTTTACCAAATTTGTAGACTTTTACTCTAACTGCTATAGAAAGAAAACGTAACATAATAAATTAATAATTCTTTCACCATTTTGTTCACAGTAAAATTATCTACAGAAAAGTGGTAATTGGATGGTCAAAATGTAAAACTAAAAAAACTAAAATTAAAAAGATTATAAAAATAAAAATTTTAAAAACAACTTGTTGAAAGTAAACTTAATTTACAAATTCCAAGATTAATCCAGACACCAAATAACACTACTGTTATAAAGTTCAATTGATTCAAAGTTGTGTACTTTTATAAACAGCGTTTCATTGCGGCCCACTGATTTAAAGTAGTTCCTTCTCAGAAGTATGTTTCATCAAAACAACCAAACTGTTTTAACTCTTGTACTCAAATATATATTTCCAGTGCTTGATTTGTAAGAAAATAGGGGCTGTAGCCTATTTAATATGATTACTTATTAGTATTGTTATAACAATGATTAATAACCATCCAGAGGCTATTTCTCCAAATAAAATACTTTTTAGTAATTAGTACCTATTTATATTACTATAATAATGGTACAATACCTCGTCAAGTAATCCAAATGTTGATTGAGGTTGACAACCTACATGTTTCGTCGTAAATACGGAATGTGTGAATGCCGTATTTACAGCGAAACATGTAGGTTGTTAACCTCAATCAACATTAGGATTACTTGACGAGGTATTGTACCATTATTATAGTCATATAAAGTAATCCAGGGGCCATCAACATGCTATTTATATACCTATTTATGCCAATGTCTCTTTTCAAAAGGGAGGTACCGGAACGCCGCTCCGCCGGAAATCGAGCACTGTATATTTCCAACCATGATTTTATGACATGACAACAAAGTAAAAGCTTTCCAAGCAAGCTTACCCAGGAGATACAAGCGGAAATTTTTTTTTAACTTTTAGTAAAAGTTAAATTTCTATTATCTACTATGTACATTGATCACTTTTAATCAAGCTAAAAGGTCTACTGTACTACAAAAGCTATCAATCTACCTAAATATTTGTGTTAGAGGTGACATTGCTTTCTAATAAACAATTTTAGCTGTGTTTTGTATGACGTAAGGTCTTTTCAACTCATCCCAGATAAACTCTGTACTACTAATACCTTTTACTTACTACCATGGCACATTGTTGTCAATATATAAAATTTTTTGTTAGCCATGAAGAAGAAAGGCTGTTCTTTGTAAGTTCTCTAAATTTCTGTTTTGATTTTAAAGTTTTTTTTTCAGTGATTATTAAGTTTGGCATGTGTTAACGTACCACAGATTATGAAATATTTTAAGGTTATATTTATTATTTACAGTAATTATTCGCCCAAATACAAGTCAATACGTGATAATCCAAATTTCACTTCATTATATCTGTATGTCTTAAACAAAATTTATTTTAAAATTTTAATCAGGCAGTTTTAGTTGCTCAATCTTGATCCAACTTGCAAGTCCTAGACTTAGATTGACAAATCAAACTGACTTTTGAGAAAGATGATGGCCTGTGCTATATCAATAAAAGTAGCTTAGACAACTTGAAGACGAACTGAAACCAAAGGGCTTGAATTTGCTATAGTATACTAGTTTAAATCTACTATATTAAAATGAGTGATGATATCTTTAAATTTAAAAATTGAATAAAATGTTGGGACATTGGACCAAAGACCTGATTTATACAGGGTGACTACAAAAGATTGGTACAAATTCATTCTTAAGCTATACCGTTACTTTTCAAAATACAATGTTCTACCTGTGTTAAATTGTTGTTTCAGTCCCTTTTTCAACTTTAGTTTTACTCATTATTGCAGCCAGGTCTGTTCATCTGAACAGATATTGTAACATAAAATTACAATTGTTGACTTGACTAGCAGATACAATAATCAAGGTATGGCCAACAGACTTGTTTTCTTGACATCATCCATTTTTATGATTTCTTCCTATAGGGAACTCTTATAGGGTACTGAGAGAAGAAAAACACCTCAGTTGATGAACTAAGAGACAATTATGGAAGCCTTTCTCCAGCAATAAACAGAATGTCAAACATGATTTCAGGAAGTGGCATTCACTCGATATCCAGAAAAAATACTTCTATAGTTTTCCCCTTAGTTCATCTGAAAACTGAGATGTTTTAGTTTGATAGACAATGTCCTTTATTTACAATGTAAGAAAAAATTACAATGGATGATGTTGAATGAGAAAATCAGAATGTTGTACATTTGATCTAAAAGTAAAAAAAATATAATTTTACGTCACAATATTTATCAGACGAAAAAACATGGTAACAATAATGAGTGAAATTGAAACTAAACTTAATGTAACTGATACGACCAACCCAAGTAGAACATTCAACATTGAAAAGAATCAGTACGTAATGTAGTATGGAACAATACTAATGTTTTGTGGACACCCTGTACATCCACAGCAACATTCTGCAATGCAGTGTCACCTCTAGAGATGACCTCTAAGGTCCAACCTGTAGCAGATGTGGAGGAAGACTTGTCAGATTGTTGCCGGAGATGTCCAGGAGTTGCAGAGATGCCTCTAGACCGGAGAAGGCAGAGGGAGAAATCTCCTGCAGACCACAGTCCACCATGTACAGCTCTCGGATACGGGCGTCTCGGAAAGCATCAGTCTGAAGAATCAAGTGAGCGAGATATTAAAAGTGCAAATAGATTATTTTTACTTTTAAAAAATCTTTTTAATTTATCAATTCTCTTGTAGTTGGCTTTCCACACATGGATTTAGTCCGGAAAACAGCTGTTTACTGCCTGCTGAGTCAAATGGGATGTCAATACAGTACTGTAAAAAATTTTTACCAGACACCAGTTGATAATTGTTTTTTTGTTTTTTTTTTCTTTTTATTGGACATCTTTTATATTTTATAAACATAAATAATAATCAATGTAACAAAATTCCCATTAAACATACTAATTCCAAAGATATACTGTAATTACAAAAAAATTTGATAGTTACCAAGTTTATATTCTGAAGGTAGTGAGCGGTTATAAATAAAAACATAACCTCTAAAAGGTTATGACTAGTGAGTTCCAAGCCCACATTGGGAAGATCAGATTGTGTTATTTTTTACATTTTTAGGTTATTTTAAAATAGTATGGTAAAAAATATCTTACATCACTCGTCTAAAATGTGTTTACCATACTCCTGTCGTAATCATCCCACACTTTACTTTGTCTCATCCGGGAACGAAATAGGACAAAACAGTCCAAAGACCTTCAACAGCATTTTTACCGCAAAAGAATTGTCAAAAATAACCAAGTACAAGTCTTGATCCTTGGTATCGAACATCCCACCTGCACGAGAGCAAGAGGGTTGCCATTGAGGAAGGTCTGGTTGAGGATGTTGAAATGCTGGAAGGCCCCAGGAGGGAGATACTGTATGTTGTTGTAGTCAAGATGCAGAGTATCCAGGGAGAGTTGACTGCCAGCATGTTCAGGTTCCGAGCTGCCAGTGGAGTGTAGTTGGGTTATCATGTTGTAGCTGAGGTCCAAGTGCCGCAGAAGTCTGAACAACATCGGTCAGTTTAATAGCCTGAGAGAAGGAAATGGAGATGGGAAGGGCGCACCTTGCAAAAAGGAAATGGAGATGTGGCAAAGGAGGCATTGGAATGAAACCGTGCAGGAAGCAGGAGATAGGGTAGACCTAAAATTATATGGAAAAATACACTGCTAGAAGAAATAAAGAAGGACAAAACATTGGAAGACATCAAGAAAGATGCACCCCCGCATCCCCAACAACGCCCCCCCCCCCTCGGGTGGGGTGCCGAGGTCCGACTTCACCGACCACCGCAATTGCAAAAAAAGGTGACGATGTTTCCATGAGCGCAGGAGACAAAGGTGTTGTTTTCAAGACTAAAGAATATATTCATAATTTTGCCACAATCGCGGAAAAAGATGACGTTTCCGAGACCATGGGAGACGTTGTCTATGTAAGCGCAGGATATGTTGAAGATTTTGTCACAATCCCGGGAAACGATGACAATGTTTCCATGACCAGTGAAGGCGATGACAAAACGTCTGCGAGAGTTTTTGGATTTTGTCACGACCACGGTTTTTGCTGAGATACACAAATCAAAATAAGTGGTGATGTTTAAGTAGGGGGGGGGGGGGCTATCCACATGTACTGCAGGGGGGGGGTGCTGCTCATTGTGCTTACGCCACTGGTTAGGAGGAACAGTATAGGCCCAATGTTTCAGAAGGAGTCAACGGAATCATAGATCAAACATACTCCCTGTTTAATCTATGACGGAATTAAATCAGTCATGTCAGTTAGGTAGCACAAAGATTTACAATCATGCTTTCCAAAATAGTAACCTATCACTGTGTTAACATAACAAGATATGCAAACCCTTAATCTATCGTCATCTACCGTCTCGTGGCTTATGAGACAACACTGTTGATTACTTGGCACGTGATAGACCTATACATTAGTGGTATACCCAACTCCCTAGTAGAGTAGGCCCACTAAGTTTGTGTCCCCATAGATGCAGCTCTTCTTAGTTACAGTTTTCAGTTTTCATGATGCTTGCATAAATAGTTGTAAGTGAAGGTCCTTTTTTGTCACTATAGCCATGGACAAGGTATGGCAACCCAAAGGGTTGGTTATGTCCACAGCTGGGTATTGTCCACTGATGTGGTAAAACTGACTGAGTTAACACTAAAGGGATTGCGGAGCCCAATTAGACGAGTAATTTTCATAACAAATATGCTTACGACAATGCAATATCGTGGTTTCACTACAAATTTCTGTTAATTTGATAAATTTCACGCAAATAATTTTATTTCTATAAGGCCCGGCCACCACGCAGGTGGAAAATACTTGGCTTAGGACACAGACCATTGGTCCAACCCAGTGGTAAGCCGATATATCCCAAAGGACTAACAGGGGTGACCAGATTGTGCTAGACTCACTTGAGGGAAGAGACCTGGCGGTAGGGGACGTGGCGCATCTGGTTGTCTGCAAGGATCAGTCTGATCAATCTAGGAGGCCCACCAGCAAACACCGTCGGGTCAAAGTCCATGATGGCGTTGCCTCGCAAGTCTAGAGTCTCTAGGTTCTGCAACGTAGAGAACACGGAGCCAGGCAAGTGTGCGATTGCATTCTCTGCGAGGTTCAGGTTCTGCAACGATTCCTCCAGACCTCTCCAACTCTCCGGGTTGATCTCTGAGATCTCGTTGCCTGGAATCATACGTAAAGATTAACTCCAGAGGTGAAATATTTTAAAATTTTGTTTTATTTTGACCTATGATAAACCACTCATATGTTTGGCAATACAAAAGCTCTAGAAGGTATGAAGAAGCCCTGCTTGCCCACCATCCGAAATGGGAAATTATAACGACAGAAAAGTAATTGTGCACCTATAATACATATGTGCTCTCCTTTCAAACAAATATGTAACAATCCAGCACTAATTCCCCCTGTTAAGAATGCCAGGTTATAGCTATAGGGTTATTAAAAAGGAAAAACCCGAGTTGGTTTTTCATGGCTATACAATCTGGCGATGTTAAAGAATTTGTTGTTTTGCAATAAAAGTCTTTTTCAACTATCTTTATAATCATGTATAACAAAAGGTTTTATTAGGTTTAATTTATTAAGTATAGTTTTTTTTTCTGTGGTAACCTTTTTCAATCCCTCGGTAATATAACAAATCTTTGATTAATTAATATTTTAAGCCTCCCTGATAGTCTCTAGATTGACCACTTGTGACGCAAAATTCTAGGGGGGGAATAAACTAGTATTCACCTAAGTCAGGCTAGGCCTACCCTAGAATCGGCCACACTCAAATTTCTTCCCCGGAGTGCTCAGAAGGAGCCGAGAAAAATCCAGGGGTCGATACGAAGTTGTCACGGCTTTGACTGATCAATTTATTTAAATTTAATCGAAGGCTCAGAGCTCTAGAAGCGCTCAGGAAATCCTGCAGACGCCCAGTTGGAGCTATATCATCCCAGCCTTCGTAAAAGTGTTTTGGAGAATTTTGCCTAACTTTTAGAATGACTCTGTAGGGCCGACGAGTATTCAATCTGAAGCCAATGTGATTCAATTGCTCGTAATGAACTTTAAAATAATTAGCTAAAGGCCTAGGTAAATAATATAAGATCGAATATAATGTAAAACCCAATCCCTACAGAGTCGTCGGGGCCTAATTAATATAATTGGACGGATAATTTAATGTGAGTGGTTTAAAATAAATTTAATACTGATTTTCGTAGCTGATTGTTCAAATCAGCCTGCTCCCAAGACTCGATTCTTTCACCCGCCAAAGACGGGGTTTAGAACTTAGACGACAAGTCTCGGGGTATTAAAACGACGTAAAACGGGAATAACTTAAGTAATAATTTAATCGTGAAACGAACTGAATTAACGTAATTTAATAGCCAATTGGTTTAAAAGAGCCGAAAAATATCCACCGCTAGTCACTGGCAGGCAGGAACTGGCGGGTTTTGTACGAGTCGGCAAGAACTAAGTTAATAAAATTTAGAAAGTTATAATCGAACGTAAACGGATAAAATAAATGGCAGACGAGTATGCGTATGTTAGAAAAAGAATATTTAAAAGAAAGTAGGAAAGTCTGAAAACGTAGCTAACCTGAATCGATATCGTATGGCGAAGTTACTTTCGTTGTGCGAAGAGGCTTCTCGTTAACGAGTCGACAGTCGAACAGCGAATAATTCTTGTCCGGCTCAAATCCCGATTTCCTCGGCCGCGGCTCAAGCGCTGCGGTGGCGATTTCGGAAACTAGCCAACAGCTGATCGGGGATTCGCCTGTTGAGCCGGTCTAGTTGTCGTCTGTCGTTGGTCAACAAACACCATTTTGAGGTTAAGTGATGTTGTAATCGGCGTTAAATATTCGTAAAATCGGTCGTTTTAACTTTATTATGTGAAACGGAGTGCTATTATGAATAAATATATCGTTGTGGGTGTGTTTGTGTACTTCACTGTTATTAAAAGTAGGCCTACGTTCTTTGGCCCATAGCCCAAGCTAGGGCCAACACATAGGCCTAGGATTAGGATGTTGTGGATAAAAATCGGGTAAGTTATGGTGTTTGTTGACTAGCAATACGTTTTTACCCCCCTTAAAATTTGGTACCTCACACACTTCAACAGTCCCTATGTAACATGCTGTTGGATGATTTGGAATTATACTATCAGATGTTACAAGTTTGAAGTTTGCACCAACCTACATTAAAAAAATGTACAGTGGAACCCAGTACCGTGGTTACAAGTGGGCCCAGGGGCGCAAGAGTTTTTTGTTTTGTTAGGGGCGTAAGCAACAGACATTATTTGGATATTATCTGCAATAGCGCGACAGTAGAATCCTCCTCACTTCGGTTCCTACTCATGACTCATTACTGCCACTGTTTCAATATTATCAATGACTATAATACTCTGTCTTTATTTGTAGGCTCATATATTTTATGTTGTTTTCATTAAGACAGGCGCACAAAGGCGATTTTGAGTCTAGCATCAGTCGCCCAGTTAATAGGGGGACTGTTGAGCAACTCACTCGAAAGTCGAAGCTCTAAAATCTAGCGACAGTTGCGCAGGAGTGCGCACATAGGCAACTATTTAGACGCAAATTGGACATTACAATAAATTTAAATACTTACTTACTTACTTTCCGTGTCCGGAAATCAGACTTCGCTTTTCCAAAAATTAGCTACCGATTGTCTCTCGATATTAATCGAGATCGTTACTAATGGCCTTGAAAAAGACCGTTTAGGCAGATTCATTTTTCGAAGTCGTCCGGTTGTAGAAGGATTTGCCGCTAACATGTCAGCGTTGCCTGGGGTGTGCCCGATTGTGATGTCATTCATAGCATGTAATGGTCACAATCTTCGGGGAGGCTACTTCTGTGCACCCCATAGATTTAAATGATACAACTATATAGTATGTACTCAGTTTCTAAGTGTGCGTGTCTAGGAGTGACACAGCGACTTTTACATGATCTGTGCCTAAAAGTGGCACAGCGACACTAGTCATATGTCTGCGCGTCTAGATTTGTTTCAATAGATACCGAGCCTGGAGCGACAGTCCGGCAACAATTGAGTAGCGGAGCTGTCTCTGGCAAATTGGGTCCGGGAACAACAGCTGCAACAGTTGCGTCACTGTCCCTCGAATGTTTCCTTGGTGTGCGCACTCAAATTTGCGGCAAAAAACTTTTGGACAGTAAAAAAGTGTTATACCTCTATTGGGCCCATAGTGCATTACCTTCTAACCACTTGCTTGGTGGAACCTTGTTAATAAGGCACCCTTGATAAGAAGTGTATAATTTTCAAATTCTCATGAATTTATTTTACTCCAATCACATGTTACAGCAAACCTCAATAAGAAATCAACCTTGATAACATTCTTATTCAATAATCCCCATGGAGAGACTTTTTATCGAGGTTCTATTGTGGATGTGCTTTCTGCAAAAAGTGGAGAATGTACAAGATAGAAAGATAAGATATAACCTAAAGACAGGATTAAAGACCTGTTTAAAGACAGGATTAAACACTTTTTGGTTAACAGCCCTATTTATAACACTTGTGAATTTTTTGATCTGGACTATTCATTATTGTAGACCATTGCTGACTGTGTAGCCATTTTATGTAAATGTACCTTGTAATTTATGCATGTATGTGATGCATGATGCAGACGTAATTTATTAATTTATTTATTTCTTGTATGCTACTTGACTTTTATTGATGTGTGCGTTTTTGCAACATTTTGTAATTATTTTTTTTTTTGTGACGAGACTGATAGCATGTAATTGTTGAATGGTCAATAAATTCTTGATTCTTGATTCTTGATTCTTGATTCCTACTACTACACAGGAAACTACTAACCTTTGAGGTTAAGGACCCGCAGTTTCTGCAGGTGGCGGAAAGCTCGGCTCGGCACAGATCTGAGGTAGCCATCGGTCAACTCTAGTTCCCACAGGGATCTCTCTAGTCCGATGAATGCCTCGTCAGGAATGTGATGGATAGGATTACGACTCACCTCCAGTCGGTAAAGGCCTAGAAAAGATAAGTGTTTGTTAACTTAGCCTACTTCAAACTTCATCCATCAATATAAATGATAACCATTTAACTTACTTAACAGTTATTCCTGAGGAACCAGTATGCCTAATCTGTGTGATGGGCTTACTGTCTGTTTCTGTCCCCTTTACAACTGGAATGCAAGTTTCTACAAGGAAAGTAAGGATGTAAAGCAATTGCAGAAACTATACAGTAGCTAAATTGACACAACTAAGTTAGCCTATGTTGATTGATCTGTTTCTGTGCGAATCACCAGTGTAGCAATTGTCTGAAAATAAATGTCAATCATGTAATTCTTCCAAGTTATTTTATTTTATTCATTGCTTTTGACAATCATCATTGCATTGTGATTGTGTAGCATAATGTTTAATAAAAGAAGCTTATCAAACATATCAAATGACAATGTATCCTTTCTCCAAAAACACAAATACACTTGCTCATATTGTAGGAACTTAACTGTAGGTAATAGGTAAGTGAATAGGTACCTAATCAATAATATTAATGACTGTCATATTTTCACAAATTATGAAAATGAAGTTGGAAAGCCTTACTGATGTAGTAGGTATAGTTGGTTGAACATTGAACCTACTCCAAAAAATTGATAGCCTACTGTATAAACATTAAACATGGCATCTACAAGAAGGGTGTGATTTGTGAACTGGAAGCTTTATAGTAACCTCAGTCAGTCTTGTGTTATTTACCTTGATCTTATCTTTGCTTGTATCTAAGAATAGCATGACCTAGCAGACCAAAGAGCAAACAAACCAAATAGGTAATGTACAGTACCCAATCAAAATGATGGATATGTGGTGTTGATAAAACTTACGATAAATAAAAATAAGCAAGGCCTAGACATGCATGTAGAAGGAAAAAACTAGACGACAGCAGAAAACACGGAACACAGTAGTTGCACTACGCAACGCAACAAAAGATGCAGTAGTTTTGATATAAACAGTACAAGTCACAACGTGAACTTTTCAAGCGTGAACCGGTGAACCTGTGCGCTGAACCGCTGATAGCGAGTGGTGTGGAATGGGAGGCGGGAGCGGCAGCGGAGCGGTGCGTTCCTATGTAGAGTGGAAGGGGGGGCGGCGGCACGGCGCCTTGACTGGGATGGGGATGGCGACCAGCTGAAATTGTAAACAAACTTTGCTGTGCTGCTAACTATGCTATTAGGGCTCTCAGTGTTTTCTACTCCGTTGCAATTTATATTGATTGCTATTGTAAAATTATTGTTTGTTTATTACGTTATGCAGTTTTGAAATTACTTAATTGACGTTCCTTATGACGTTTGGCTCATTAAAAACTTTTACAAACTGTATAAAACAAAACAAATTTTCTGCAACCAGAAATTTGCCGCCCCTCAACCCTGCCACCCGGGGCAACCGCCCCCTCTGCCCCCCCCCTTGTTCCGGCCCTGGCCTAGACTTAGGACTATTATAGTATTTAATATAAAACAGGCTTGCTACAAGCATTTTACCTCATTTCAAACACTGTCCAATAACTAATGATATTAGTTATGTAATAGTTAATTAGTAATGTAATAGTTAATTAGTGATGTAATTCTAAAAAATTTGTGGTGTTAGATAAACTTAGTTAAGTTTAACATAAATAAATATTAGTAAAAAAGGTCTAAACCTAGCATTGAAAATAAAACAGGCATACATACATGCATTTACCTCAAAACAAGTCGCACGAAATACTGTAGTGTTGAAATAAAAGTGATAATATAAAGTTTATTAGTAGCCACGCTCGAGCCCAGGTAAGGACATCGATATGTTTGTATGATCGATATATCGATTATGTATGATCGAATTGATATAACGATTTGTATTCTGTATGTCGATATATCGATAGGTGATAATTAGTCCAGGAAGTCGAAACCCCCCGGACAGTGCTGCAATTCTACAGCCCTTGATAAAAATGCTAACTATTAGGCTAGCAACTCACCCTCACTTATATACGTTTCTTCTGCTAAGCTGCTCATTAGGTTTGATAACCCATTAAGCGCAATTAAAAGAGACATTGAGGGTATATATTGGCGTTTAGGAGGCTAGTAGGGTATTTATGGGTTAGCTACCTCTTTCTCAGTGCGAGTGTCAACTGACTCATTGGCTTCTTACTCGACTAACATGACTTTAAATCGAAAAGCGTACATGATTTAAAATAAACAGATTGTTTTTGTATTAGTTAAGTTTGCTTGTTTTTCATTAAACAACTAAATTATTTATTAATTAAATCAAACACAGTGGTTTGAGGAGTTAAATAGAGAGAGACACCTAGCGGTGAAGAGGCGAACTGTTTGAAGCCTCGAGAGCTGCAGCATAGCGGTTGTATGTTACATCTAGCAGTGTTAAGCCGACCGTCTGCAGGTTTGCTGTGACGGGTGTTTTTAAGAGGTAAACGTGCATTATTTATCAAGATTTTGTCAATAAACTGTAGATTATTTGATTGTTATAAAATTTTTATCATCTTTGTTGCATCTATGATAAAATGTAATCTAGATTACGAACCATTTAATTGTGCCGGTAACAAAGCCCGGGACCGACCCAATTTGTCATCAACTTGTGAAACTTTGACCTTTGATTTAATGTTAACTTACTATAAGAGTACTTACTGCCATCATTGGATATATAAAATCAAATCCAACATTAAAACGCGTTCATGTACTTGAAGGACAACTATTGATAATAGTGACAATATATCATTCTCTTGTCCATAGCCAACAAAGAAAAATCTTACTCGAATCTTAAAATTACAGCAAAGGGCATTAAGAACAATGATGGGACTAAAAAATGATGAATGTGTTAAAAATTCATTTAAAAAATTTTAAAATGCTAACTGTCTTTGCCCAATACATTTTTGAAACTTCTCTCATTGCGAGAGAAAGTATGCCAGGTAACGCACAATTATGCTACAATACAAGAGGAAAAGCCCTAAGAGAAAATAGTCCCAACCATCTTTTATTTTCAAATAAAAAGCCCACCTGTGCCGGAAGAAGGTTTTTACGTTTTCTTCCAAATCATTTAAAACCCATTGGCAACATCAAATTTAAAAACAAATTTAAAAATCATCTTATTGAAATCGCTCCTTACTCCATTTAAGAGGTGTAACCTCATTGTAGCTCAATTAACCTGATCTTAATCGTTGTTTCTTAGTATGTATAAATTGTAATTTTAGCTTATAACTGTATTTACTAGGTTAGGAATTTGACACTATTCAATGTACAATGTACAATTATTGAATAAAGATATTGAAATGAAATGAAATTATGTATTATATCTAAAGAATTTGTCGCAGATTAAGTTGTTACCACCTGATTAAACAATACTAATGTACCTGTTGCTCGAATTCGAGCAATTGCAATGTATCACAGCTGTTATTTTAAAACAAATAACAGTCATAATTTCTGATTACTTTAAAAGATTCGACTCAAAGAATGTGGAAATACTCAAGATGTACATAACAGATCGATATTTTATCAACATTTCTTGTAAATATATTTTCATTTTTCAAAATCTGATCTTGTTTGTTTAGTGTTTTCTACAAATAGACTTACTCATAGCAGTATTAGGTTGTCCATAATAACGATTATAAATTAAAAAAAAAAACACATTATTGTGGTGTTCTATGACTTCCCCATGTTTCTATAGTTTGCAAATTGGCTCTTTCAGTGATTACTAAGAAATGCAGCACAGTATTAATTCAGTTTTCTTTTTTGTATATCAAATTATCCAGGCTCATTCGCTTTTTTCCATTGTATTATTTAAGTTTCGCCAACCCAAATTCAAATAGTAAATATTTCATTTCAACCAAGTGAGTAAATTTTTGTAGCAAACTGTTAAATTAGCAAACTTATTGACTGTTTACAATCAACATATATGTTCTTCTTCTCACTTTTAATTTCTGACAACAGCTGGAGTTTCATTACAATGTTTGTGTCCCATGTTAATCTTATGGAGAAATGAGAAACTTTAAAAATTATAGTTATTTGTGCAACTAGTGAGAAAAGTGAGGCAATTGTACTTTGAACTCTAGTTGCACATTATACTTTTCCTACAGTTACCATAAAACAAATAAATTTGTGAAGAAACATAACCTATTTTTACACAAAAGTGAACTTTTAATACAACATTTAATGTGAAGTGACAAATACAACAGTACAACAGCTGACCAGCTGATTTACAGTCAGTGCTGCCAACGTATTTCGCGCGCATACAACGTTGCCTGCATGTTACGCGCTCACTATTTCGTGCCTTCACGTTGCAAATCTGGAGTGAGACAAAGTAATTAGAGTGAGACAATGTTAACATTGTCTCACTGATGAGCGAATTGGCCACTTTGCTTTCTCAAATCAGTGAGAGAACATGTACATTGTTAGGTAACTGTAGGAAAAAATATTTAAATCAAGTATGACATATTGATACCCCTGGAATCGGTAGCTCAAACAGTTTTGTTTACATTAATTGAAACAGCTGTATTGATTGTTGTGCTAATCTACAACCTTCTTATTCTTTTAAATAAACTTCAATTTGTACTTTCTTATAACATGTTTTCCGTCAAGAAAAGGCTTAGTGTGTAACTTATTGAACTCGAGTCAATGACTCTAGTATAACGGTCATTTAGAATGTCAAAAACATAGTTTATTCTTTAAAAATTCGAAATATAGCCCATCTACTAGCAAACAAAAACCGAGATACAGTATCCATTGTAACAAGAGTAATGCTGCACTTGTGAGATGAAATATATCATCGTCTGGACGTTTTTAGAGCAAGAAATGGTTGTAATGTTGAAGTTTATTAGCTATGTAAACAATATTTTTGATGTCAGGAATTCGACAAATTAAATAGTTTTTTTGTACCTGGGTTCGTTTTATTTTTATTTCATAACTAAACCCACCATTATTTTATGAAAACCCTGTATAATGTATAGTGTCTTCTTAGTCAACTGACTAGACTTATAATCGAAATACCCCCTCC